TTTTTTTTATAACCCTTTAAACCCTTTATAATCCTTTAAAACCATAAAAACCATTCTCAGCTTAAGGGTTTTAAGGCAGGCCATAGTGGGCAGTACTTGGCTGATCCCTGCTTTGTGCTATTCTGATTAAGAATATCCTAGGGGCGCTGGTCAGTCTGAAATCTTGAGGTCATGTGTTCAAGTCCCAGGTTGGGTGTAGAGGTTACTAAAAAATAAACAGTAAAAATAATACACATAAAAATATCAACATTAAAAAAAACAAAACATAAACTTTCATTCTACGTAGATTTGCTGAAGGTCAAATAAGCTCATGTTATCTCTGTTCCAATTTGTTAACAAAAGGATTACTTAAAGTGATGGTTAATTTTGTCTGTCTCAAAGTTTCCATGGGTAATTGTTCAGATAGCTTTCAAAGTCTTTGGTAACCTAAAATGTTAAGGTTTTGCTTGCATGATAAATTCAGATTGAATTCATTGGATATCTAACCAGATAGAGGCTAAAACATGAATTACTAGATATAGGTTTGTACTTGACTTGTTGCAAAAAAACTAAGGATATTTGGAACTGTTGAAAAACATGCTTTGTGCTTAATGGATTCATAAGTTTGCCATCTAAAAAAAAATTCTGATGTAACAGAGTTCACGATTGGTTACTACTTAGGTTTCACTGGAGACTAAGGTTTCTAAGAGTTAAAATTCTGCTAAATGTAGTTAAAGCTGATAAAAATAAGAAAAGCAACTCTGTGTGTAGATAAGTAGGAGATATGAAAGAAAAATATAAGAAATGTAAATGTATTTTTGTTGAAGGTAAAAGTAAGTAACTTTGTCCTATATGAGACTGGTTATTTGGAGCGAAAGGGCTTGGGACAAAATCTAAATGCAAAGAAAAGTTGTAGAAGGTTCGTGAAGGAAAATCTTTAAAAAGAAATTTTATGTGTGGTCAGGACAGAGTAAGGTTAAAATAAATGGATTTTAAAAGTACACAGGGCTAAGATTAAAATTCGTTCTTTGATCCAAAGGCTGGGAAAATAATGGCAATACTCTTGATGCCGGCCTCCAAATCCTCCACATTTGTGTTGTTCTTGTTTAGCAGAGGAACGGATGCCTCTGCCATATGAGGGATGGGTGATATATGAAGGGCTTTTACTAAGATACTAAACTTAACCCACTGTATGCCAAAAATGGATATCCACATGGCCGAAACATATTCATGTGGGCATTGTTGAAAAAGGCAGGGAATAGACCTTGACTTGGGCCTTTAACCCTTTCCCTCAATTCTCAATGATTAATATATAAGTTACTGTTGAGCCAAAATAAAATTAGTATATTCTATGATGACCAGGAAAGTCTTGCTTGGTCACAGTCAGACTTCGGCTCAGGTCATGATCTCATAGTTCCTGAACTCAAGCCCCGCGTCAAGCTCTGTGCTGACAGCTCAGAGCCTGGAGCCTGCTTTGGATTCTGTTTTGTTTTTACTAATTGGGTAAAGGCCTTCCCCTACAAGACAGAAAAGTCACAAAAGTAAGAAAAATTCTGCTTTATAAAATAATACCCAGGTTTGGCTTATCTAAAAATTTGCAAATTAATTATGGTAAATGGCTGCCTTCACTCTTTCTCTAGAACTCCTGGCTCTTAAAAAAGTTTTACACATTAAAATAAAGTAGACTGTCTGCTTATCCTCAGCCAAAACTCTAAATTAAACACCTCACAGGCATCAGATGCTTTAAAAAAAATTTTTTTTTAATTAAGTTAGGGCCAAACTCTTGGAAATAGAGCCACCATTGATTACTTACTGCTCCTGCTTCTCTATCATTTGGGTTATGAGAGATTCCCTGACATACGTTGTTTACAAAGTCAGGGTCTCTCCTAGATTATTTGACAGGTTTGGAAACTGGAGACATTATCTTAAGATGCCATCTTGCTGGTCAGTATCATCTTTACTTTGTGTTTTTCTCTTTGTGTCTGCTAATGTTTATGCTGCCTTCCTGTACAACTATACTGTGGGCCACTCGACCAACCTTTGGGTAGACTCTAACTGCTGTACCCCAGTTAGAAGCCAGAATGTTCATTGTTCCTGTTACCTAACAGTAGTTACAGGCCCTACTCCAGGGGAGAAATAAATAGGAAAAGAGTTAATATTAGGCAGGGAGAGATAAGGGATCTTCAGGGAAAAAGACTGTAGCTGCAAATCGGAGGCGTCCCCCCACCGGCCCATTATCAAGGGCATAAAGAGGGGATCTAAATGAGATAGACAATCTAATCCTAAGACAACAGATGCGGGCCCTTGGGTCTACCCTAACCACCTTACACCAGTGGGTCAGGGAACGAGTACCTATGAATCTGACCCCAGATGCTCACCCCTTTAAACCAGGAGATGCAATATGGATAAAGGAATGAACTGTTCAACCCCTAAAACCTCTCTGGAGGGGACTGTTCACTGTCATTTTGTCCACCCCTATTGCGGTAACGGTAGTAGAAGTGGGTCCCTGGATTCACTATAGCAGAGTGAAGCCAGCATCTCAAAACTGGGAGTGTATTCCTGATCCATCAATGCCATGCAAGCTGACCATATGGAAAAAGCAATCTGCAACTCTGGAGCCTCCAGGAGTTGACAGTCCAATGAAACAAAAGACTATCCTTACCTTCTCTATGTTTCCTTACTGTGATGCACTGTCACGCCTTGTTTCTCACTATTATTGTGATTTTTGTTCTACTGAGGCTGCCACAGCCAGCTAGAAATGTGGTGAGAAGTTTCTGTTAACACTCACCTTCCTTTTGTGGACAGGATACTTCGTTGGTACCAACATGGGGAAATGATGGCCGTAAGAGACTAAAAAAATTAGATCCCCACAAACCTTATAGTAAAACAAAATACCCCAGTCCTACTACCAGGGTTTGGCTTCTCAAAAGCCCAATTATTGGGAAAAACTGTCTTGCCTAGTGGAGAAAAAGTTCGTCATCTCTGTTAAAAACTTAACATGCCTAGGCCAAAGATTTTATAACTCAACTGCCAGACAAACCCAATGGTGGGGGACCCCAGATCACCTTGAGCCAGATCCCCACCCCTTGTCTAACTTCTCTCATCTCCGACAGGCCTGGGACAATGTCATCACAGCTATCAAACGGCAGGCCCCAGGTGGACCATACTAGATATGTGGAAGGACAGCCTATATAAACCTCTAAACCAAGATGATGCTCTTTGACCCTCAATAGAGGGGTCCAAACATCGAAGTGGGGAATGTAGTAGGGTCCCCTCCCTAAGGAAAGAAAAAAAACCTCAAGGCAATCTGGCTATATGCCTACATGACAATAGCCCTCACAACCTTGTAACGGGCAACCACTTAATAAGACTGCATGTTTGTGTGTTACCATATATGGGAAGCAAAGAAGTAAAAAATATATAAAAAACTATGCCACATGGCGTTCGGGGCTCAGTTCTTTGGGTATGAACCCAACTGAGAGGTGCCGGTAGGAATAAAGTTGCTTCCTGGAAAGAAAAGCCTCGGTATCACTACTCTGTGCAAGAATTCTGCTACAGTTACACTAATCAACAGATTTTCAATGTACACAAGACAGCCTTCTATTGGAAAATGTCATCTAGGACTTTCACAGCTAGACAGAAGTCAATGCTTGGCTTTAAAGCTTCAAAGGACAGGGGCACCTGGGTGGCTCAGTCAATTGAGTGTCCGACTTCGGCTCAGGTCATGATCTCATGGTCCGTGAGTTCAAGCCCTGCGTCAAGCTCTGTGCTGACAGCTCAGAGCCTGGAGCCTGTTTCACATTCCTTGTCTCCCTCTCTCTTTGCCCCTCCCCCACTCATGCTCTGTTTCTCTCTCTGACAAAAATAAACATTAAATAAATAAATAAAAATAAAGCTTCAAAGGACAGGTGGACTCTCTCATTAGAAGTTACTGCAGGACAATTGGGTGGCTCAGTCAGTTAAGCATCTGACTTTGACTCAGGTCATGATTTCATGGTTGGTGAATTTGAGCCCTACCATCGGGCTCTGTGCTAACGGCTCAGAGCCTGCTTCAGATCCTCTGTCTCCCCCCCACACTCTCTCTCTACCCCTACCCTACATACGCTCTGTCTCTTGGTGTCTCAAAAATAAAAATACATTAAAAAAAAAAAGCTTTGTCAGAGGTTCCAAGTCAATGCCACTGTGAGATTTGGGCCTACCATGGTCAGTTGTGTGCTTCTTGACTCCAGAGCCTGCTTCCAGATCCTCTGTCCCCACACTCTCTGCCCTACCCTACATGCGCTCTGTCTCTTGGTGTCTCAAAAATAAAAATACATTAAAAAAAAAAGTTACTGTCTGGGGTGCCTGGGTGCTCAGTTGGTTAAGGGTCTGACTCTTAATTTAGGCTTAGGTCATGATCTCAGTTTTTGAGTTCGAGGCCCACATTGGACTCCATATTGACAGCACAGAGCATACTTGGGATTCTCTCTCTCCCTTTCTCTGCCCCTCCCCCACTTGTGCTTTCCCACTTTCAAAATTAAAAAAAAAAAAAAAAGTTACTCAGCCGGTGACTTGAAGTTGAAGCCAATGCTTATTTCCCATGTGAAAATCCTAGGGCCGTTAAGAATTATATGGCACTTACTCTGCCTATGGTCTATAAATCGAACATAGCCTTGATGATAGCATATCTGTTTACAACATGATTTACTGAGTATTTTAAGCCTAGTATTAAGACCTACTGCTCAGAAAAAAAGATTTTTTTTAAAAGAGTGACTGTTTATTGGCAATGTACCTGGTCACCCAAGATCTCTGTGGGAGATGTACAAGATTAATGGTAGCTTCTTTTTCTTTCTTTCTTTCCTTCTTTCTTTTCTTTCTTTCTTTCTCTTTTTAACATTTATTTTTGAGAGAGAGGCAGAGCGTGAGTGGGGGAGGGACAGACAGAGAGGGAGACACAGAATGTGAAGCAGGCTCCAGGTTCTGAGCTGTCAGCACAGGGCTCGAACTCACCAGCTGTGAGATTGTGATCTGAGCCCAAGCTGGCCACTTAACTGAGTCACCCAAGAGCTCCAGATTAATGGTATTTTAATGCCTGCTAACATAACATCCATTCTGTAGCCCATGGATCAAGGAGTCATTTAGACTTTCAAGTCCTATTTGAGAAATACATTGTGTAAGGTATAGCTGCCATAGACAGTAATTCCTCTGATGGACCTGGGCAAAACTGAAATCCTTCTGGAAAAGATGCACCATTCTAGATGCCATTAAGAACATCTGTCATTCGTCGCAAGTAATCAAAATATCAACACAACCAAGTTTGCAAGAAGCTGATTTCAACCCTCAAGGATGACTTTGAGGAAACTTCAGTGGAGGAAGTAACTGCAGATGTGGAAACAAGAGAACTAGAATAAGTGGAGGCTATATACATATAACTGAATGGCTGCAATCTCATGATAAAACTGTAATGGGTGAGGAGTTGCTTCTTATGGATAAGAAAGTGGCTTCTTGAGATGGAATCTACTCCCGGTGAAGATGCTGTGAAGATTGTTGAAATGACAACAAAGGACTTAGAATATTCCATAAACTTAGTTGATAAAGCAGCAACAGGGTTTGAGAAGATAGACTCCTCTGTTTTGAAAGAAGTCTATTGTGGGTAAAATGCTATCAAACAGCATTCATTGCTACTGAGAAATCATTCGTGAAAGGAAGTCAACTGATGAGGCAAACTTCACTGTTGTCTTATTTTTAGAAACTCCATAGCCACTCCAACTGCCATACCAAGCATTCAACAGTCATCAATACCGAGGCCAGACCCTCCACCAGGAAAGAGATTACTACTCGCTGAAAGCTCAGATGATAGTTAGCGCTTTTTAAGCAATAAAGTATTTTTAAATTAAAGATATGTGTATGTTTTTTTGAGACATAATGCTATCACACACCTGACAGACTACAGTACAGTGTCAACATAACCTTTACATGCACGGGGGAAACAAACTCATTTGATTCACTTTACTGCAATAATTGCTTTACTGCAGTGGTCTGGAACTGAAGCCACAGTATCAGATATGTCTGTATCAACCTGATGAAAAAGGTGATATAACCCACTCCCACTGTAAGCTGAGGAAGTGAGTTTACTGAGGATAAGCTGCCCGTGGTCTCACAGTGAGAAAACTAGAGAATGAGAATGCAAGCCCCAGTTCCAGCATTCAAGGTTTCAGCTGTTCTGGTGCACCACCTATTTGGAATTAGCCTGAAGGGGTCAACTATTACTTTGTTTCTTTGTGTGCAAAACTTACTTGGAGTAGTGCTTACAGTTCTTTTATTTTTTCCAGGTTTGGAAAATCCATCTGTGTAGAGAGGCCTCTTTTTTTCCGAAGGAACCTTTGAATCTTCATTACCTGAATCCAAAGATACACAAATGATGAAAGATTCCAAAACAAGTTCTTCCAATTAAGAAATATCTAGAAGTTAACATGGGGCATTTTCATTTGACAGGGTCTGCCAAAGTGGTGGAAAAAATGAGCACAAAGAATGAGTTACAGCATCACTACAATTTTAGCTCATATGCTTCAAGTAGCCAAAAATTTTATGCTTACTGTACAGAGGTTATATAAATATATCAGAAATTTAAGAACACTTTTTCAAAATTTTGCTATGAACAGATTATTGTTATAACAAGAACGATACAATCACAAAATCCTGGGGCACCTGGCTGGCTCAGTTGGTGGAGTGTGCGACTCTTGATGTTGGGGTTACGTTCAAGCCCCACATTGGGGTGTAGAGATTACATAAAAACAAAATCTTGGG